CTGCCATAATCGCACCAAGCATTTCCAAATTCATTTGACAATGTCTATTCCCCCACCTCCCAAATAGGGGCTATGTAGTCCAGGCTGACCTCGAAATCTCGACCTTCCTGCCTCAATCTCCCCAGTCTTGGAATTACATGTGTGCCGCACCATGCCTGACTAGAAAAAAATACTTTGTGAGGGGCTGGAGGTTTAGCTCAGCGGCATAAACTCCTGCCTTGGAAGCAGGCATTCGTGAATTTGATCCCCGGTACCGATAAAAAGGGAAAAAAAAAAAAAAAAAACTTTGTGTGTGAGCAAAAACATGTGAGGGACATGAATAAATAAAGTTTTAAAACTTATTTTTGAGACAGGATCTCACTAGATCATTAAATTCCCCAATTTGAATTTGCAGTCCTCCTAAGCCTCTCAGAATGCATACAGGCATCTGTCGCCATGCCCGGCTTTGTGTGTTTTAAATGCTCAGAACATAGCCACACACGTTAGCACTTTAAATGACTGGTAAATAGTCACGTGACTGGGTGTGGTGCTGCACACCTGTAATCCCAGCACTCAGGAGGCTGAGGCAGGAAAATCACGGTGAGTTCAAGGCTGGCCTGCACTATGTAGTAAGACCCTGTTTCCAAACACAAAAGTTACATATGCATATAACAACATAAATATAAAGGAGAGAATGCTCAAAATGTTTGGAGGTCACCAGAAGCAGCATGGCTGTGATATAACAGAACTGACGTGACACTCAGGAGATTATAAATAGTCTGGGGAAGTGAATTTCAGACGCCGGCACATGTGAGAATCCATTCTGAAGACTGTTAAAAATAAATACTTCACCGGGTGTGTGGTAGTACATGGCTATAATCCCAGCACTCAGGAGGCTGAGGCAGGAGGATCATGGAGGGTTCTAGGCCAGCCTAAACTATGTAGTGAGTTCAAAACCCATCTGAACTACATCGTGAGACCCTGTCTCAAAAGAATCCAAAGAAAAAAGAAACACACACACACCCCTCCAGCTCTCTCCCAAGTTGCCTGAGTCAGGGCCCGTGGGGAGCACTACATAGGCCACTTCTTCCCTCATTCACCTCGTGGTGCACCACCCCCTTCGCAGCTGTGTTTCGTCAGGATTTTAGCTTTTCTACGTTCTGGAGCTGGGGATGGACCTCAGGCCTTTTGTACTGAGCATGCGGCTCTACCAGGTGGCTATGTCCAGCCCTAGTCTTTCTATTGACCTCAGAACCCAACTATTCTGTCATCTCTAGAAGTTATTTTTGGCTCTTTTTAAACTTCCTGGCAGTTGTTTTTTGTTTGTTTGTTTGTTTGTTTGTCTTTTTCATTTTTATCGGTACCAGGGATCGAACTCACAACTGCCTGCTTGCAAGGCAGGCGCTTATGCCGCTGAGCTAAATCCCCAGCCCCGCCAGTTGTTTATTTTCCTTGTGTTTTATGATGCCTTTTAACCTAAAGGCTTGAATATCAACCTTTAGGTCCACATGTGGTGAATTCCGATTGGCAGTGACCTAGCGCGCTCCAGCTCCGCTGACCCTCAATCGTGTGCATGCAGGCTGGCAGAAGGGATGGCCAAGACTTGAGCACAGAGGTCACTCTTGGGGAACAGACGCGCAGTTCCTTCTCAGCCTGCTCTGTGCAAATATAATTCAGGCTCCAAGCCCACACCAGGAGCAGTGGGTGCCACAAATTCTCTGAAGACTCTGTCCTTCAGCCTAAGTGGAGGCTGTGTGCCTCACAGGGCAGCGTTTCTAGCAAGACCTAGAAGTCATGGGCACCTCCTGCACCCCTTTCCCAAGGGGAATGTGTGTGTGTGTGTGTGTGTGTGTGTGTGTCACTGGAGTGAACACAGAGCCTTTTCACTGCACTATATTCCCAGGCCTTTTTGTTTTTTGAAACAGGATCTCATTGCGTACTTTAGGCTGGCCTTGAACTCACTATGTAGCTCAGGCTGACCTCACACTACCAGCCAGGCTCCTTTGTTTTTTATTTTGAGGCAGGGTCTCACTAAGTCACTAAATCACCCAGGCTGGGCTCAAACTCGGGATCCTTCTGCTTTAGCCACCCAGGGTACTGGGGTTACAAATGTTCACCACCATACCCAGCTAGATAATGTCTTTAGGGTGGAGCTCTTGTGACTGAATCCTGGTGACCTTATAAAGCAGAGACACACAGACCAGATACATGAACAGACACCTCTGCTATGTGATGCCCTGGGACCTACCAGTTTGAGGCCATCACCGGAACCAAGCCTAGGCAAACTTTGTCTCTGAACTGTGATCTAAATAAGCCTCTCTCCTTTATAAAGTTACCCAGCCTCAATAATCTCAATCAGTAATGAAGTACAGTACAGATTGTGGGCACCTTTGGGGGACCACTATTCTGTCTATCATATGTGGTAAATTAGAAAAATGACCATTATACTCCAAAGGAGCAAGCAGAGATGAACCAGAACTCTCTCACTGTCCAGAAACACTCCACAGCTTCCCTGGCAGCATCAGAAATGTACTTCACAAGAACAGCCCCAGTTACTTGACATCACCAGCCCCTTTACCTTTGTCAGGAATTCTTTTTTTAAAAGGTCTTTGTTGTCAAGCATGATAGCACATGCCTGTAATGCCAGCACTCAAGAGACTGAGGCAGGACGATTATTTTGAGTTCAAGACCAGTTGGGGCTACAAAGTGAGCTCAAGGCCAGCCTGAACTGCATAATGAGACCCTGTCTCAAAAAGACCAAATAAAATAAAATAAAAGGTCTTTGGTCGGCCTGGGGGTATAGCTCAGTAATGAGTGCTTGCCTAGCATGCATGAGACCCTGGCTTCTACCCCCAGCATGGCAAAAAATAAAAATTAAGAAGTCGTTTTTGTCTCCCCAAGCTTGGTGCATTATCAGGGACTTGTCCTTCTTGTATTTCCTGCCCTGAGCTCAGCTCACCTAGCTGGTCCCAGGAGGAGACAGGAGGGCCTGCCCTGCTCCTGAGCCACAGCAGCTCCTGAGTATACCACTCAGTGGGGGAGAGGTGATCTGGGAGAACACACAGCGGCTACTTCACTCTTGGAAATTCCAAGCCCATGACTACACTGGCTGGAGACAGCAGCAAAAGACAGTAACAGAGTAAGACAATAATGACATAATAAAGATGTAAATATAATTGGCCAGGGCACTCCAGTATCTAGTATCCCCTCCAACTTGACCCATTTAAAATGGAGCTCTGGAGCTTTTGTCCAACTGCCCCATTACACCCAACCCATGGGCAATCCTGCTGGTTCCACCTACCAGAGACAACTGCTGCCCTTACTACTGAGAGGAAAAGGAAGAATTCTTTTTCTGGTTAATATTTTAACAAAGGGATCCAAATCTCCATTGACAAAGATGGAACAGCCAGGTGTGATGGTATAATCCCAGCACTCAAGAGGCTGAGGCAGGAGGATTACTGCAAAATTTGAGGCCAGTCTGGACCACATGGTGAGTTCAAAGGCCACTGGACTACATAGTGAGTCCAGTTCTCAAAAAAGAACTGGCTGTGAAAGTAAATGACACAGCTGACACAAAAACCCTTTGGTCACTATGAAACCCAACACTTCTCCCACTGAAAGATCTGCAGCCTGGCAGAGCCCTCACCAAGTAAAAAGAGCAAGAATTTTCAAGCTTATAGGGATTTTTAAAAAAAAAGTCTCTCTTTAACTACCTGAAGTTTACACATGCTCATCCCTCTGCCTGAGCACTGTCCCTGTCACTGTGAGGTTTGAGGAGATTCTCCTTACCCTTCAGGGCCCAGTGCGGAAGTCTCCTTTGCCAGTACTGCACTTCATGCCAGGTCGGGAGTCTGGTGGGCTCCCCTATCCCAACTCAGCCCATCTAGGGTGTCACTTTGGGGAATGGGTCTGTGTCCAGTGGACTGTGAGCCCTTTAAGAGCATTACCTGAACTGGGACTTTAGCTCAGCGACTCAAGCGCTTGCCTGGTAAGTGCAAAGTCGTGAGTTTGATCCCTGGTACAAAAACAAAAGAAAACAAAACACAGCCTGGGACTGGCTTGGTCTCTGCTGCTAACAAGCACTGTCCACACGAGGCCTGGCCCAAAATACGTAAGCTAAAATAAGTCATGGGTAGATGAATGGCAGCGCCCTTTCCCAACAAGTTATAGGAAGTTCATGCTCCCATAGGCCTACAGCACATGGATCATCTTTATTACATAGCTTATATTTCTTGCATGTACTGTGGACTTCAGATCCAGCTAGGGCGGCTCCCCTCCAGCTTCCTTACCCCATGCACGGTGGCGGCCAGGTCCTCTGAACTTGGGCTCCCACCAGCCGTACAGCTCCGGGTTGACGCTGTCAGCTCACGAGTGTATCCCTAGAGCTTAGCGGAAACCTCACAGTCTGTCTAATGGAAGGTGTATGAATATCCGCTCGGATGTGTATAGTCCTTTTGGTCAGATCCCAAGTGACGCCCTCAGACTCCAGACTTCACCCATTACTACTTCACCTCAACCTAGGTCTAATGCCTTGAGTTAAACCAAGGCATACTGAAATTCTAGACGAATAACATACAAACGCCCTCCACTTCCCAAGGTAGCAGCGAAATTGAGGCACTGTGTGGGGTACAGGGAGATAAATCACCCAAGGATGGTTTGGCAAAGTACCTAGTTTGGTTACTCTTCCGTCCCGCCCCTAGCTCCTTGCATCTTGAAAAGCCCCGCCTAAATTGTTCGTTACCCGGGTTATTGGTTTGCTTAGGCGTCACTCTTTACAAGTTCCTTCCTCTACAGGCTGGTATTCAGAACTCGCGCGGTGACACCATGCCCTGCCCCCTGCCCAATGTCCGTCCGTACTATTGGGTTACCCGTATGCCCCTCTTCCAGAGGCCCTCCCTATTGGCTACAGGACTTTGCCGGTTCGAGTTGTGATTGGCCGGGGACAGATGTCCATTCCCAGAGCAACCACCGGAGAGGGGTTGGAGACTGGAAAGGTTGGAGGGACGCGGGGTCAGACTCACGCTGTGCCGGCGGAAGGCAGATATAGGTCTTGAAGAACTCGCTTCGGCGGGCAGCCGCCTTAATGCGGTTGGCAAGCGGCTTGCTGACCTGTCGGATGCCCAGGTATAGCAGCTTCGCCATAGGGAACGCGCCCACCACCATCTTGGCGGTCGCACGGTGCACGCGCAACCTTGCTGCCTGGGCGGGGCGTCTCCAACCTCCCTACTCCTCCCCCGCCCTCTCTGACCGTGCGTGCTTGCGTACGTGCGTAGGCACGCTCGAGGGTAGACTGCAGGGGCGCTCGCTGATGTCACCGCGTCCACGCTGACGCGCCGGCGTCTGCTTCATGAATATGCAAATATACAGCGGAAATGAGGCAGTCGGGGGCAGTTCCGTTAAACGGCTGCTCGCGGGAGTGTGGAGTCCCAATCCTGCGACAGTGATGTCACCGCGCTCCTGCGTGATGTCACGTACCGAATTGGCATCTCCGCCCAAAAGAGGCTCTTGATTAGTCCCAATTAGGTCTAATTAGTTCTAAATACACCTTTCTCCCCTCAGGTTAGAGCTCTCGCTTGGAGTAAAAGGAAATAGATTGTGTAGTTATCCAGATCTGGGATTGCACTTCCGTATTTACTAGCTGTGTGCTATTGGACGAGCAGTTTAAACTCGCTGGACATCAGTATCGCTGTTTACAACATGGGTCTCAGGATAGCATTTATTGGAGAACCCAGCCTATAATCCTAGCACTCGGCGGAGGCTGAGCGGGGTGGGGGGGATCGCCTTATATTTGAGGCCAGCCCACCCTGAACTATATACGGAGACCCTGTCTCAAAAAAGCAAAACAACTCTTACTGGTTATTGAGACTTATATGCCGCGACCCTCCAAGCAGTCGGCTAACCCAGCCCTTTCCCAGCTACCAGAGACAGTGGCCCAGAGAGAGGCAGGGGTGGGAGAGTTCCCCAGCTGCAGATGTTGAGAGCCCCGAGTGTTGGCTAATAAAACCCGTTCTCAAGCAGCCCACTTCCTCCCGGGGGGCGGGGGGTGTGAGGGTCTCCAGGGAGCTGGTTTAGGAAGGAGTTTTAAGGACAAGTCCCAGACTGTCCTCCCTACCCAGCAGGGAACAAAATCATATAAACAAGGTCGAGAAGGGGTTGGGAGAAATTCCTGGTTGGTGGAGAGCTAGTGGGTAATGGAGAGACTGAAGGAGAGGCGAGGGTCGGCAAATTGGGGGTAGGGGTCAAAGTTCAGGACAGGGTTAGGGGGCCTGGGCTTTCCTCCCTGAGAGTCATTGCCAGGTCCCTAGCACCAAGGAGCCTCTGTTACTTCATCTGTAAAGACAGATGGTGCTGGGAAGCTAGGTGCAGTGCCACACACCTGTAAACCCAGCACTCTGGAAAATGGAGACAGGAAAATCTGTACTGAAAGCCCAGCTTGGGCAACTTATTGAGACCCTGTCTCAATAAAGAACTAGGGTTGTACAGTGTGAAGGCCCTGGGTTCTGTCCCCAGTACCAAAAATAAATAAATAAATAAGAAAATAATGATGCTGGTGTGTGTGACGTCAGATACGCTTAACTCGCTAAGAATGCCAAGAGTCCAGGGGCTGGGATTTAGCTCAGTGGCTCAAGCACTTGCTTGGTAAGCATGAAGTCATGAGTTCGATCCCCAGTACCAAAAAAAAGTCCAAAAAACCAAGGCTTCCTGGTAGGCACGGTGGCAGTCCTGTAATCTCAGCACTAGGGAGGCTGAGGTAGGAAGATCCTTGCAAGTTCGAGAGCAGCTTGGGCTACAAAGGGAGCCCAAGGCCAGCCTGAAGCACATAGCGAGATCCTGCCTCAAAAACAAACAAAACAAAATCAAGGCTCCCTGAACCAGATGTGATAGCTCCAAGCCTGTAATCTCAGCACTTGGGAGGCTGAGGCAGGAGGATTGATGCATGTTTGATGCCAGCCTGGGCTACAGAATGAGTTCAAGGCCTGCCTGAGCTGCAAAATGAGACCCTGTCTCAGAAAAAAAAAAAAAAAAAAAGGCTTCCCAGAGTCCCTCTTGAATGGAAGATGTGAACAATTCCAAACCTACTTAAGGTCCATCACAAACTGGGGACCAGCCCTCTTCCCATAGCCCAGACTGGGGCCAGAAGGTGAAAGGGATTTGCCTTTCCAGAGCTGGGCCCTGTGGAGCACCTAGACTACTCTCCTTGAAAGAAGAGCAGTTATTTCCTTTTTGGCTAAACCTGGCCCTAATTCATTGCACTGATATGTACAGAGCTGGTTAGGGCATTTTATCTCCTCAGCTGGCTTTAAGCAATGCAAATCAGTCTAGCAAATCAGTCTCTCAAGCAAGACAACAGGTCAGTAGCTCCCAAAAAACACCTGTGAGCTGGGCGGCAGGCTGTGGGCTGGGATCAGGCCTTGAGATAAGAGGCTATGATTTCTCAGGGCATTAAACATTACACATGGGGCTGGGGATTTAGCTTAACGGCATAAGCGCCTGCCTTGCAAGTGTGTGGTCGTGAGTTCAATCCCTGGTACCGATAAAAAAAAAGAAAAAAGACCAAAAAAAAAAAAAAATGACACATCAGAGCTGAATATATTAGATGCTACCTCACTGTGTTACACAGATTGCTCTTTCTGCATACCCTTCCCTGCACATTACAAAGGTGATCCCAGGCCTCCTGCCTGGCCCGGCTCACAGCACTCACATAGTGCCCGCCATTCTCACAGTCACTCATCCCCCAAGCCACTCCCCTTGTCAAGAATTAATAAAATCAGGGCTTAGCCCTAGGTGGAGGCCTTTTCCAATTAACCATCACCTCAGCTGGACTTGGGACACCCTCACAACAGTCTCAACTGTGGGACACACCTCACAACTATAAATATGCCTTAGTGTCTTTATTCTCATGGGTTGCCCTGGAAGTGGTAGATTGGAATTAACTCACTAGAATTCCGGTAACTTTTCCATGGGATTATAGATATAAACTTTACAGACCTCATTGCTGGGACCACGAGGCAGTTTCTTCAGCCCCAGCCCAGGGCCTTCTTCAGATTCCTGGGTGGGTAGCATGGGGCCCAAACACTGAGGACCAGGCTCTAGAATAGCTTTAGGAAACTTCCGAATGTGTACATGACTCTTTTCTGTATAATAATTCATTGCTGTTTCCGAAGCACACCAGGCACACAGTAAGTGCTCAATAAATGTTTATTGAATGGGCTGGAAGGAGCATTTGGTGGGAGGGGGCTGTGTTCAGCTGCTCTGAGGTGGTGGGAGGAGGGAGCTGGCTGCCCAGACCCTAGGCCCCACCCTCCCGCACTTCGGGGCTCCTTGCCCTGCCCCCCATGCTACCTCACCCCCTCACCAGAAGTCATTTTCTCAGGAAGCGCATTGTTTTCCCACTCCTTTCTGCCTGCCTCTGCCTTTCTTGGACAAGCCTTTCCAGGAAGCACTTGGGGGAACTTCTAGGGCAGTGGTGCAGGGCAATGTGGGGGAGGGTTCTGCAGCTCAGGAGTCTGCATCCACCCCTGCTCTGGGAGAGTGGGGCCCTGGCAGAGTGGGTGCTTCCTCCTGCTCCCCAGCCCTGGTGACCCCTGAGGCCTTGGCCCCTCTAGGGCGTGGGAACAGATGCTGGAGTAGGGAGGAGGGAGCCAGCCCAGGATGGCCCAGCACTGACTCACCAGGCCTGAGCCCTTGGACACCTCGCTCAGGCTCTGTGGTGCCGCCTTCCTAGTGTAGCTAAGATCATTCCCAGAACTGGCAAGGGGCTCCTGTGCCCCGCCTGATTCCTGCAGAATAAACCCCGCCACTGACCAGTGGCCTGTCTGGTCCTGCATTTCCACCCATCCAGCACCAACATGTCCAGCCTAAATTTGTACAATCACCATCTTACCAGGCCCCTGGCATCTGCCTTTACCTCCTGCCTCCTCCTCCCACTCAGCAGCCAGCAGGACCCCATTAACAGGGAAGTCAGATCACTTCGGCACACAGCTCAGAGCCTCCCTGTGGCTCCCATTTAACTCAGAATAAAAGGCAAATCCTTAGCAAGACAAGCAGTCCCACACCATCTGCCTGTGGCTGCTGACCCATTCCTGTCCCATTCCTCTTTCCCTCCTGACCTTCCACCCCAGCCACACTGCTATACCTCTGGTTCCTTAAAATCTGCAGTGACCCCAGGGCCTTTGCACTTGCTGTTCTTGCTCCCTGGAATTCTTTGCCCACAGTAGCCACCTCGCCCCTTCAGATCTTGCTATAAGCACTCACCCATCCTCCTCATCTGGATCAGACTCCATCATCTGGATCACACTTTCTCCTCTCAACTTGCTGTTTTTCCACTTCCGCTTAGTGACTCCATGTTTTATTTATTTTTTTATTGTGATCATGGTTTTTAGAGACAGGATCTTGCTATATAACTCAGGCTGGCCTGGAACTTCCTGCCTCAGCCTGTCAAATAGCTGAGACTAGAAGTATGTATCACCATGCCTGCTTATGCTTACTTTTTCACTTGCTTTTCCTGAACACCATCAGAGCAGGACCAGGGTTTTCATATTCATTGCTGCATCCTGAGCCCCTCTCAACACATGCTGGGCATAAATCTCAAAAGAATGAATAAATGAATGAATGAATGAATGAATGTCCTTTCTCTTGTCCTGCGCCTCCTCCATGCAGTGTGCTCTGAATGCTTTTCACTTGGTTTCTGACACTCTCCCTCCTCTTCCTCAGTTCCTACATGCAGGACACTTGATACAGAATCTCAGAATCTGTCTGTCTGTCACCCTTTCTCCCACGGAGCCAGGGACATCCCAAAGGCAAACATAATGACCGTGCTCCGTGATATTTCCCACCTGCGCTGGAGTCAGAGCTTTACCGCCCTGTTGGCAAGAACCCTTTCTTTCTGTCTTTACCTCCTAGAAACCAAATCTTTGACTTCACAACCTTGTCCGGCCCTCCAGGAAGCCCTCTGTGGCCCAGAACAGTAGCAGGGCCTGGGAGTCCATGAGGACAGTGCCACTGCTCTGTCATTCGCCCTGCCCAGCTTAGGGCTGGAGACAGTTAAACCGAATTGTTAGGGGGTCATGAGGAGGGGGTGCGTGAAGTGACATCCCAGCCTCTGCTTCTCCTGTTACGTCCTTACGGCATTCAACTCAGCCTATTTACATACAGTTTGCACACAGCAGACCCGGGGGAGAGGCCACGGCCGAGATCTGAATGTGGGGCTCACTACGCGGGCAGCAGCACCTTGAGCGGCACCTGGTCCCCTTGGGAAGGGGCAGCTGCCACCCAGCTGCCTGCCGGGGCCTTGGCCACGCTGCTTCTCTTGGAAGTAAGCGGGGTCTCCAGGGTGAGGGACACGTTGGCCATCTCCTGGGGCTTGTCGCTGGCCAGGAAGCGGAGCAGGTTGTGCAGGGCCTTGGCCACGTCGCTGCGGGCGCCCTCATTGACCAGGCAGTAGAGGATGGGGTCAGCCACGCAGTTGAGGCTGGTGAAGGCCAGTGAGCTGTGGTAGGCGGAGAACACGCGCTCCTCGAAGCCGCAGTCCCAGGGGTGGCCCAGGTAGACGGCGCTGCGGGACAGCAGCAGGACGTGGTAGGGCGCGAAGCAGACCAGCACGATGGCGATGAGGCTGAGCGCCAGCCGCTTGATCTTAGCCTTCTCCTGGCGCTCGGTGGACACGCTGCCCCGCACGGCCCGCAGGATGCCGCGGTAGCACAGCAGCATGAGGGCCCAGGGGAACAAGAAGCCCACGAAGACGCGGTAGAGGTTCATCCAGGCCACCCAGCCCTCCATGGGGAACTTCTCGAAGCAGAAGGTGTGGTTGTAGCGGTCTCGAAAGAGCTCATCGTGGAAGAGGGGCGCCGAGTTGGCGCCCAGCTCAGTGGCCCAGACCACGGAGCTCACGGCCACGGCCGTCTTGACACGGCGCAGGCGGGCAAAGCGCAGCGGGTGGGCCACGGCCAGGTAGCGGTCCACGGAGATGCAGCACAGGAAGGCGATGCTGATGTAGATGTTGGTGTAGAAGATGAAGCCGAAGAGCTTGCAGGAGCCCGGCCCGTGGATCCAGTTGTCGTGGTGCAGGAAGTAGTCCACCCAGAGCGGCAGCGTGCAGATGTACAGCAGGTCGGCCACGCTCAGGTTCATCAGGTACACGCCCAGCTCGTTGCGCTGCCGCACCTGGCGGTAGGCGGCCCACAGGGCCAGGCAGTTGGTGGGCAGCCCCATGCCGATGACGAAGATGTAGAGGGAGGGCGGGAAGAGGTGGTCCACGCGAGAGTCCACGTGGCAGCCCTCCCACGAGCGGTTGCCCATCCTGGGCGCTGCGGCTTCCTGGGCTCTTCCCCTGCGGGGGGGCTGCCGGGCTGTGGGTGGGGGGGCAGGAGGCCATCGGGCCCCCTGAGCCCCCTCCTCGGAGGCTCAGGGGAACATGACAGTCCCAAGGAAGAGATCAAGAGGAACCCTTGGGCAGGCTGGGCAGGGAAAGCGAGGCACAGCACGGGAGGAAGAATAGGAGGGGGTGGGGACGGAGGTGTCTGTGGGATCAGCAGGACTTCAGGAAGAGCTAGGAAGCGGGTGCGGGCGTGCACACCCGGAGCCCTGGCACTAAGGAGGCTGAGGCAGAAGGATCCCCAATTCAAGCCTGCCTGGCCAACTGTGCCAGACTCTGTTTCAAAAGTTAAAAAGGTAAAATCAAAGGGATAACGGACAGAGTTCAGTGGAAAGGCCCTCGGTTCAATCCCTAGTGCAAAAAAAAAAAAAAAAACTATGGGGCAGCAGAAAAATGGGGCAAGGGACAGCTAATGGAGGAGATGGAGGTGTCAGTGATGAGGGGAGATGCTTAGAGAGCACCCAGGAAGTAAGTGCAATTATGCTGAAGTACGTGCCATGGGGGACGAACGTTCTAGAAGACAGGAAACCCCACAAGAAGGCATTGAGACAGGGCACGGGAGTGCTGGCGAGACTGGCAGTGTGGGCCAGAGCACAGGATTGTCCCAGGGCCCCGGCAGGAAATAAGGAAATGCGTAAGACTGAGGTGTGTAGGCCTCAGGGGCTGCCCCGTTGGGTGGACAGAGGAAGGGCAGGGGACCAAGCGGAGGGCTGCTGGGAAACAGGAAGGAGATGACCAAGGGCTGGATCACAGGAGGTTCGAGGTTAGGCCTGGGAGGGGAGAAGAAGGAGGGGAGGGCTTTTGCTTCAGCCCTGATGGGGTCCCCGTGGTTGGGATGACGTGGTCTCAGCTTGAAACCTCAGACGAAGCTGACCTCTCTGGGCCTGCAGGGACAGAGGACACAGGTGAGAAGCCACCCACTCCGCTCCCCATGCCCTCCCTGTGGACGTGGACAGCCGGTGCCTTGATGCTGCCTGCTTCCCAAATGTGTGCTATAAGCCGGGTGTGGCTGGCACACGCATGTGACCCCAGAACTCAGAAGGCTGACGCCGGAGGATCACTATGATTTCATGGCCAGCCTGGACTACACCAGGAGATCCTGTCTTAAAAAACCAAAACAAAACCAAATCCATGCTATGTAAAGACCTTAGAACTTTCTGGCAGAGAGTATAAAACTGGCACAAGTTCCACACCACGTGCTGGGCCACAGGGACTAATCTGATCTCATCACTTCATAGGCGGGGGGAGGAGCCCGCAGAGGCTGGGTCACCCCTTCAGGATCACAGCAAGGAAGTGACAGAACCCAGGGTGGGATTGGCCTCCTGGCCCCAACTACAACACCACATTCTTTTTGTTTGGAAACAGTCTTGCTATGTAGCCCAGGCCAGTACTGGGCTTACCATGTAGTCCATGCTACCCTCAAACCCATGACTCTTCTGTTCTGTTTTGGTTCGGTTTGGTTTTTTGAGACAGAGTCTCACTATGTAGTTCAGGTTGGCCTTGAACTCACTATATATCCTAGACAGACATCAAACTTAAGGGATCCTCCTGCCTCTGCCTCTCAAATACTGCAATTATAGGTGTGTGCCCCCATGCCTGCCCCCCCCTTTTTGTTTATTTTCAATTGACATAGTATATAAATTTATGGGGCAAAAGCATCAAGATACCTCCTTCTTGACAATGATTGCTACATGTTTTGGGGTTTCTTTGCTTTTGTTTCTTATTTTTTTTTCTTTTTTTATAGTGCTGGGTTTTGAACCCAGGATCTTCTACTTGTCTGGTGAGCGCTGTACCACTGAGCTACATGCCCAGCTCCTAATAGCCACAGTTTATTGAGCCCTATTACATACCCTGTTCTAAGCCCCTTTTGGAGTATCCTTTTGGAGTATTGTATTAAAAGTTTCAAGAACTCCATATAGAAAGTAGCTTTCCCTCCTATTTGACACACCGAGGCACAAAGCCATTCTGAGACCGTCCCAACTCCTGACATCCAAGTTTCTGATGACAGGAGAGGGAATCTCTGCTCTCGGCCCCTTTTTCAGAGTATGCTTCAGTTGTCAGAATAACTGGACAGAAAAGGGCCCCGGGGTCAGGTGCAGTGATGTACACCAGCATGAGGGAGGCTGAGGCAAGAGGATCATCGCAAGTTCAAGACCAGCCTGGGCTACAAAGTGAGCTCAAGGCCAGCCTAAACTGCATAGGGAGACCCAGCCTCAAAGACAACAAATAAATAAATAAGAAAGAGATGGGGGAGGAGGAGGGACTGGGAATACAGTTCAGTGCAAAAGCCCTGGGGTCAGTCCTCAGTACCAAAAAAGAAAAAAAACAAAAACAAAAAAGACCCTGGGTAGGGACCCAGAACCAACCATAGCTGCAGAACCTGAGGGACAGGAGAGGGAGCAGAAACTTGGGCTCCATCAAGTTGAACCTGGAATCCCTGGGTCCTTCCGAAACCTCTGCCACCAGCATGGCGAGCTTGGATTCCTGTGTTTTGCGGCGCTGGGGATGGAGCCCCGGGCCTGACACGGTGCGGGCAACTCAGTATGCTGGACTCATGCTCTGCCTCCCTCCCGCTCCTGTCCTGCCAGTCTGCAGCAGCAGAAAAATCTTCAGAACCCAGAAATCAGCTCCTGTTTCTTCCCTGCTTGAAGCCCTCTAACAGCTGCCAAGAGGACTGCAGTAAAATCCACACTTCTAGCCAGGCCCAGTGGTACAAATCTGTAATCTCAGCTCCTCAGGAAGCTGAGGCAAGAAGATACCAAGTTCAAGGCCACTCTGGACAACTTAGCAAACTCCTGTGTCAGAGTGAAAAGGGCCGAGGGGGTAGCCCTCTGTAAAGTGCCTGGGTTCAATCCCCAGTACAGAGAAGAGGGGAAAAAACAAAAAGAAAGAAATAAAGCGGGGGGGGGGGGATATTGATAGACCCCTACTCCTGGCCCTGGGTACAGGAGGAGAGAGGGAGAGGCCTTGCCTGTTGGCCTGGGCAACCCAGCAACCCCTCCTCCGGGCCCCACCCCCAGCAGGGTCCATGCCAGTGACTCCTCCAGCCTGAAATCCTCTGCTTACTCTGCCTTGTGCCTGGCTTACTCGTGTTTCATTTTGTTTGAAACAGGGTCTCACTGTGTAGTTCATGCTGGCCTCGAACTCACAGAGATCCTCCTGCCTCAGCCTCCTGAGTGCTGGAATTACAAGCATGTGCCAACACACTGGGCTCTTCCTTCACCTCTTCAGCTGGCCCGAAGAGCTCTTCTCTACCAGGACCCCGACACCCCCAGCACCTGTCTTGTTTCTGTCTGTCTGTCTGAATGAATGAACATTCCAGGAGGTTGTGAACCTTGTGTGTCAAATGCCTGTCCCATCTCAGGACTGGCCCAGCGTACAGTAGGTGCTCATTAAGTGTGCCCAGAAGCTTTGAGAAGGAGCCCTGCTTCACCACCACCCCCCAGCCCCCTGACTGAGTCCTCTTCCCCTCCCTCCATGTCTGCACCCCAGGCTCAGCTGGGGGCCTCAGGGAAAGAGGCGCGCAGGGGGAAACAGAAAGGGCAGGATCTGTCCGCTTCCTGACTGATTCCCTGACTGACTCGGAAAGGTCAGGGCTGAGGCCCTGCTCAGTCAGTCCTGCTCCCTGCGGGGTCTTCAAACAGCTGTGCCCCCACCCCAGCCAGAGGCTTGGTCTCATGGAGGGAGCATGAGGCTTGGTCCTGGAGAGATCAGTGTCATTCCACCTCTCTTCCCTCTCCCCTGTCCTCTTTCTCCTTCTGTCCCTCAGCCCTTGTCTCTCTGAGCTGCCATCTCTCCCTCTCTCCTCCTGTGACACTAAAGGAATTATTTCCCTCTAGGGGGATTGCCAGCCTGGGCAAGTTCAAGGCCAGCCTGGATTATAAGGCTAAGACCCTGTCTCAAAACAGTGTGTTCAGGAGGGTCTTTTTCTTTTGTTCTTTTGTGTGCCTGGTACTATCTTAAGGATTGAGCCATTTGCTCTGAGCTCCACACCCAGCCCCTGTCCCTTTTAACTTTTATTTCAAGACAAATTGTTGAAAAATAGCCGGGCCTGGTGGCTCATGCCTGTAATCCCAGCACACTCGGGAGGCTGAGGCAGGAGGATCCTTGCAAGTTCGAGACCAGCCTGGGCTACAAACTGAGCTCAAGGCCAGCCAGAACTGCATAGCTAGACCCTGTCTCAAAAAAAAAAAGACAAAAATGGAGGCTGGGGATTTAGCTCAGCGGCATAAGCACCTGCCTTGCAAGCAGGCAGTCGTGAGTTCGATCCCTGGTACCGATAAAAAACGAAAAAGACAAAAAGAAAAGAAAAATTGCTTAGTTGCCCAGGCTGGGCTCAAATTGGGATGGTCCTGCCTCAGCCTCTGCAGTAGCTGGATCACAGGCGTGTACTACTCGGCCAGGTGGGTGGGGAGGCACACCTTTGCTACTGCTTCTTCACAGGTGGAAATCCCTGGGAGAAGGGGATTCATGACTGAAGTTTACAGTCCTGGAGCAGGTATTACTCCCTGGGCCCTAGAAAGCGGAGGCAAAGCCCACGTGGGTGCGAAGTTCCCTGCTGCACCTTCTCCCCACTGACACGGGCCCTGCCAGCCCCAAGCAGGCGGGTGCAAATGTTTCTAGCCGCCAGCGGAAATGCACTTCCCATTGCTAATTTCCTCCCAGGCCGACCAGCCTGGCACCAGCCCTCCCCCTCCGCTGTGCACCTGCGTCTGGGGGTGCTGTTGTGGGGGAGGGGTGCTCCAACAGAGGACCCTCCCCTCCTTCCTCCGTCCCCCACTGATACCTCCCACATGAACCCCCAAAGGCAGCACAGAACCTCACAGGCAGAATCCCTGCCTCAAAACAAGGCCACGGCCTGCCTCTGTGTGACAACCGGGCTGTGAGGCTCTTTCTGACCCCTTCCTGGTACACATAGGGGAAACCAGGCCCTAGAGACAGGCAGCTGTCTAAGTCACAGTCTGGGATTGGCCCTTCCTTCCATTGCTCTGAACTGAAGAGTGGTCCCTTCTCTGAAGGTCTCCCCACTTTCTGCACCCCTGGCATTTTTCACCAGTCTGTCCTGGGGAGCCCCTAGGCTCCTTTAAAAATGTGAGAATCTGCTGGAAGTTGGGGATGTTCACAGAAAAACGAGTGGCCCTCAGTCACCTCTCCTGGGGGGGCTCTCTTGGTATCTACCTCTCCTCCTCAGGCTTCATTTGAGAGGCAAACCCCCAAATCTCACAGCCTGCCAGCAGTTCCCCTGATTCACAGCCCCCCTCCAACTTGGGTCCTTGCCACCTCCTTCCAGAGAGGCAGGAAAGTGGGGTGCAGGGTGGTAACTGACACCACCCCCCAAATCACCTCCTTGAGGGCCGCCACCCCAGCCCCTAAGCTCCTGCCAGCCACCCCTAAACCCAGGCAGGCCCAAGGACTTAGAGTTGAGAGGACGAAAGGAAAAGAAAACAGTGCAGCCCCCACATCCCATCATCTCGGGCTCACTCACCAGCCTGGTCCCCAGGCCACCGGGCTGGCTCCCCCTGTCTCCTCTGTGGGCTCCAGCTTCCCCCTCCCCCAGTGGCCCCAGGGGACCGACCGGCCAGCTCCGGTCTGCTCATTAGGGGACGAAATGTGATCACCGTGTCTCGCTCCCCACCTGGTGCCCTGGCAGCCGGTGACGGAAACCAGGGGGCAGCCAGGCCCCGTGGACTGGCCCTGCTGGGCCTCAGTTTCCCCCATTTCCATCAGGGGGATCTTTATGCCTGCTCCCCGGCAGGGATGCTGGAGTCCTCAGATGTGCCCGCCCCCTCGCCGCCGCCGCCGCCGCCGCAGATGTTCTAGATTCCAGCGTTTCTGGAGCCCTGGGATCCTGGCTGTTCTCCGTGCTAACACCGAAGGCTCGGAGCCCGAGCCTTCGCTGCTGCCGTCCAGTTATTATTACCCCGCCGCTTTGAGCGCGCACCCTTCCAGGTTTCCAATAGCCTGGAGTCTCACATTCCAAGATTCTGAAGTTCTATTGTTAGAACACTGATTTAAAAAAAAAAAAAAAAAACCATTCTACGACTTTCATAATCTATTATTAAACCCTCAGTGATTTTTTATCTGTGCCCAGCAAACATGAGTACATATTTCCCCTTTTCTCTTTCTATTTTTTACAGAAATGGGAACATCCTCTGAGAGGTGAGCATCCCTGCTGGCTTCCTCCTGCCTCCCTTTTCTGCTCTGGATTTTGACAGCCCAGCGGCCTGAATCCCAAGATGCAGGGTGCCCTGGGAGCGCGGACTCTCGAAGAGGGCACCTGGGGGTCCCTTTGCTACCTCTATCTGGTCCCCTAAATTCTCACCCCCCGAGGGGACACAGGAGCCCAAGCTGCCGCCCCACCCCTGGCTCAGCGGTCTCCGCTCACCCCAGCTGAGTTATTATTTGTCTAGACACAAACCAAATTACAGGCCCTGTCCCGAGGGAGCAGTGGGCTTCGGAGGGTCAGGAGGGGACGTGGTTACACCGGCTCCCCTCCCCACTTCTCCCCAATCTCCTCCCCTTCCCCAGCAGCAGCCCTGGCCCCTCTCCCTCCTCACCAGTGGGGTGCCAGGAACATTTTCTCTTCTCTGCTGCTCCCAAAACCCTCCCTCTGGACTCCAGCCATCCAGACTCACCCTGGCATCCCTCTCTGCTCGCCTCAAAGACCAAGATCAAGACCTCGTTCAGCACATTAATCAGATTTAGTGACAACCAGAGAAGCCACCTCTCCGATAGGGACAAAAAAGAAGCCAGGTGTTCATTGTTGGGCGTCAGTTGAGCAGGGGCCGCATTCCCAGCCTAGCACTGATGCAGCTTGGGGACTTTCGCTCTCGGGCCTCAGTTTCCCCACCTGTCCACTGGCGGAGAGGCTTGGCCTAGATGACTCTGCAAGCCCTGTGGAGCCCTCATTGTGACCACTGAAGACTGCCAAGATTTCAACACTAATCTGCTTGAAGGATTGGATTGGAGGAGCCTGAGAACCTTCGAGCCTTCAGGGCGGCTGGGCCGGGGTCGTTCTGTTCATGGACTTTCACATTTAAGACCCCCCAACCAGCCTCTCACTGCACACCCAAACTAGGGAGCTGGGCGTGGAACCCAGGGTTCCATGCATGCTGGGCAAGTGCCCTACTGCTGACCTGTATCCCAGTCCTCAGGGGTTCCTGATGGTATGATTTCCAGAGTTTGGGGAGCCTCCCACCATCTTTCTTATCCTACCCGTCCTGGGTACCCTCCCAGAAAGGAAAGTCTCCCCTCCTCACCCCAAATCTGAGGTCAGGTTCCTGGCATACAGCAGACAGAGGTGGGGGCTCTTGAGAGCTCCTAAGGGAGTGGGGATGATGAGGAGGGCCTTAGAGGTGTCCCCATTCTATCTGCGCCCCCCAACAAGGCCTCCATGTGTATCTAGCCCTGGTGTGCACCAGGTCTTGCACACACCTGGGCACCCACACTTCCCACTTCTACAGCTGTCCCTCAGCCTGGGTGGGGGGAAGTTGTCTGGTTCAAGGGGGAGGGGAGGGAGGCAGAGAGAGGAAGGAGTCAAGAGGGACACAGCCCAACCCTGGAAGGAAGTGGGGGAGGAAGTCCGCCCCCCAACCAGGAATTCCTGAACTTGGGGGGTGGAGTGGGTGCGACCTCAGGAGCCTGGGGTGACTGAGAAGGGCCCCCAGGGTCACCAGTACGTACCACATAGGGGCACACTCTCATGCCCGTCCCCGAGTCCCAAGCAGCCGCCCAGCCCAGAGGGAAGTTCCTGGGGTGCCATAAGGTTTGCTAGGAGGTGACGCTGGGGTGGAGGCGCCCCAACAGGATGCCGCAGAGACGGAGAAATAGATAGAGACCCAGACGGGAAGGGAAAGCGAGGGATGCTGCGATCCCGGAGCGCTGGGGACTGCAGAGCCAGGCGCCGAGCGAGCCCGCGGACCCGCTGAAGACCCGGCGAGGGCGGAGGGGAAGAGAGCGGCGGGACGGGAGCACAGAGGCGGAGGTGCAGAGCCGAGACCCGGGGAGAGACGCGCCCGGCGCTGGGACACGGAGGGACTCGGGGCAACCGCGCGCCAGATGCGGACGCCAGGGCCGGGCGGGCGGGTACGGGGGCGGGGCCGGGACGGCGCGGGAAACTGAGGCAGGCGGGTCGCGGGGGAGGGGGCGCCCTACCTGCGCGGCGGCGGCGGCGCCTTCGGTGCGACGCGGTCCCGACTCGATGGCGGCTGCGGAACTCAACCGGGCGCCCCCGCGGAGCAGGACGGCGGCGACTCCCCGTGGCCCCGGGCCCGAGGCGCCGGCCAAGCCCCGCCCCGGCCGGGCCCGCCCCCGTTAACCCCTCCCCTGCCGCGCCCTGAACCTGAGAGATCCTCGCACCTCTCAAGCATCCCAGGCCAGAAACTCAAAATCCTGAGCCGAAGCCCTAACACCACGTCATTAACCCACAATTTTTTTTTTTTCTTTTGAGTCGGGGTCTCACTACGTGGCCCAGGCTGGCCTCCAACTCAGATTCTCCTGCCTCAGCTTCCCCAGTACTGGATGACAAGCAGGACTGACCTATTAACTCTTGGATCACCCTCCCTCCTTCGGACCACAGATCGCCAATTTCATCAGTCTTGGGGAGGGAGTACGACCACGAACCCTCCCCAGGCTGTCAGTTTTTCCCTTGAGGTCCCAGGCCTAAATCTTTCAAGTTCTGGTCACCAACCTTTTGCATGACGCCCCTCCCACTCAACCGAGGGGGAGAACAAATCCCTACTTCCAGTGTCAGAAACAGCCCTGGAAACCGCCCTGGGGTTTACAGTAGCAGCCAACTCCCTGGCCTGAACTTAGCCTAGAGACCTCCCTGCCTCTGTTTCCTCTACAGTCAAAGCAATTGTTCATGGTCCTTTCTCCAGAGAATGTCATAAGGCATCCATGCCATCCAGTCCGGGAATGATCTGAATATGGTGACTTAATCTCATCTTTTTGGGAGACTGAAGCAGGAGGATCACAAGTTCAAGGCAAGCCTGGGCAAGTTAGTGAGATCTTGTCTCAAAATTTTAAATAAATATTTTAAGTGCTAGGAATGTAGCTCAATCATAGAGAGCATCTGGGGGGACTAGGGATTTAGCTCAGCGGCATAAGTACTTGCCTTGCAAGTGTGTAGTCATGAGTTCAATCCCTGGTACCGATTAAAAAAAAAAGAAGAGCATCTGGCTCCACCCTCGGTACCAAAATAAAAACAAAACATGAAAACTGTCACTCTGCAGCCCAAGGCTCCTCACAGTGTCCCCTGGTTTCATTCAGTACAGTGAGTCCTGGCAAATGGATGAGGCAGGCAACTAAACACAGGAATCAGGGCCAGCGGGGGAGGGGGGGCCCATCCTCCTGAGCACTGTTCTATACCCTTTTTCTTTTTCTTTTTCTTTTTTTTTTTTTTTTTGTCTTTTTCCTTTTTATTGGTACCAGGGATTGAATCACGAAAGCGCCCCAAGGCAGGCGCTTTATGCCGCTGAGCTAAATCCCCAGCCCCATCTATACCCTTTTTCAGGCAACACACCCTACTTCACCTCTAGGCACAACTCTCTTCTTTCTTTCTTTTCTTCCTCCTTCTTTATTTTTTGAGACAGGTCCTGCTATTTAGATCAGGCAGGCCTTGAATTCACTGTGTAGTCCAGGCATCTCAAACTCACAGTGAGCCTCCTGCCTCAGCCTCCCCAGAGGGCTGGGGTTACAGATGTGTGCCACCACACTCAGCACTATCGTTTTGTTGTTTTTTCACTCAGAAATTAATTCTGCCTGTTCTAGAATTTCACCTAAATGAAGTCATATGGTTAAAGCAGACAAACAGAAAAGGGAGCTCTTGTGATTATTCTCTGTGTGGCCTCGGACAGGCACCTTAACATCTCTGAACTGCATTACTCCCTTCCTGGCAAGGATCATGAGGGAAACAGGAAGTGGGTGCTAGAAGACCCAAGAACTCTGCAATGTGACACAGTTAAGGACAGCTCCAAAGGACGGTCATGATACTCTAACACGTGTGTATCCTAATAGCTTCCAGACCAGCTGCATACACCCTCCTAGCAGCCTGGTGATCAGCCCAAGGTCCTCTAAGGAGCAAGTCTGAAGACTGGATGGTTCACATCTCAGTCCCAGTACACTGGGAGGCTGAGGCAGGAGGATATCAAGTTTGACCCCAGCTGGGGGAACTTAATGATTTAGCAAGATTTTATCTCAAAATTTAAAAAAAGAATAAAGAAAGGAAAAGGGGCTGCAGATTAGCTCAGGGTGAAGGCTCTTCATTTTCTAGTCCAAAAAATATTAAAAAGATATTAAACAAACCAAAAATAAAAGCACCATTTCTCTGCTCTGGGCTTAGGGCTCCCTTCCTTTCTGCTCCTCCTGCGATTCGCTCCGGGTACTGGCAGCAAACAGGCGGCTATCTGAAGAGTCCTCTGGGGAGCATTTCTGGAAGGACAGTTTTGAGAGGGACTGGCAGATGGAGGAATAAAGGGGCCCAGGAGACAGACAACTCCGACTCTCTCCGTTCCCCGTTGGGGTTCTGGGCCTTAACTGTAAGCGGCAGAGCCCAACAGGAGGCGCAGGCCGGGGACGCTCATGGATGGAGTCTGCACAGGGCAGTATCCCAGGGCCCAGCGCAGAGGAGAAAAGCTACAGTGACCTCGCGGGAGAATCACCAGCGCTTTTCAGCAGAATTTTCAAGCCTTGTTTTTCCGTGGAGGGCCCCGTCTGGCCACTAGGGGGCGAGACAGCACCGAGCACCCCAGGGACAGACCCACTTCTAGCGTTGCGCTGCTGCGCTGAACTTGGACTGGAGGAAGAATCCCTAGTGGGGACAGGAAAGCAGGCTGCGACCCGCGAGTGACAGAAAACTGGCCTCTTAAACCTAGCGAAGGCTGCTGGATGTGGTGCCGCACGCCTATAATCCCAGGCCTCGGGAGGCTAAGGCAGGCGGATCTCTGGGTTCAAAGCCAGCCTAACTGAATAGCGAGACCCTATCTTGAAACAACTAAAATCTTTGTACTCGTGGGTGATGCTCAGTGAATGGACGTTTGGGTAACACTGTTTGAGGCCCTTGGCCAAAAGATGGAGGAGATGGGTCCTTCTGACATGCTTAAAACTCCGTGGAATTTCCTGTCGGACTCCAGCTGCCTTCGTTGCTGATGGATGGGTGTCATCGTCTGGACTGGTTCCTCTTAGACAACTGTGTCGCCTCAGGGGCAAAGGAGGGACGGCAGGGTTCTCCTGCAGGATGTTTTCTCTCCCTTACGAAGAGGTGGGCTGGAGAAGTGGTTACTCCAAAACCGCGAGGTTCTAGGTCTCCCTGCTGCTTGGCTCACCTCACAGGAGAGGCACAAGGCTGCAGTGTTCTGCAAAATTCTTCTTTCATGAATGTTCAGAAATTCCCAGGCGTTGGCTGCCCTGTGCTGGTCCCGCTGACGTGGTGGTCCTGGAAGGAGCTGCCCGAGGCCTCAGCCCTATTCTGAGCTCTCTGCAAGCAAAGATTCTCAGGGAGGGCAGCCAGGCCCAAGCCCCAAATCATATTGTTTAAAAGGACTCAGTGGCGACCACTCCCCTTTGCACACGGGGCCTTACGAGTTGTTAAAATAGTGAAGTGGAGGGGCTGGGGATTTAGCTCAGCGGCATTAGCGCCTGCCTTGCAAGCAGGCAGTCGTGAGTTTGATCCCTGGTACTGGTAAAAAAAAAAAAAAAAAAAAAAAAACGAAAAAAGACCAAAAAAAAAAAAAAAATAGTGAAATGGACTGAAACAGTTCTCTGCAGAAGTCAGCCCATCAGCCCAGAACGCAATGCCTTAAAGCACTTCCTAGAGCTTCTCAGCTCAGCAAAGATCACAGAACTAAGGCATGCACACATGAGATGCTTTTGAAGGATCCACGACTTTGGATCCTTTTTTCTTTCTTTCTTTTTTTTTTTTTTTTTTGAGACAGGCTCTTGCTATGTAGCCCAGGGTGGCCTTGAACTCATGGCGATATTCCTGCCTCAGCCTTATGAGTGCTTGAGTGCTGGAATTACAGACATGTACCATCATGACCTAATGACAGTTTCTTTCTTTATTTCCTTCTACCCTGCCTCCCCACATTCCCACACCCCCACTACTATTCCCCACTGAAGCTAAAACCCAGCATGACGGGCAAATTAGCTAGCACTAAGTCATACCCATTAAAAACAATTTTCAAATTTTTTTGATACAAGGAATCAAATTTAGGACCTTGGGCTTGGAAGGCAGGTGCTTGTGCCACTGAGCTATATCCCTAGCCCAGAGCTTTTAGTCTTTTTTAGGATCCTCTTTGAAAAAAGTGGGCCAGTTAAGACAAGCATGATTATGCATTCCATCTATTCAGGAAGCTGAGGCAAGAAGATTGCTTGAAATTCCAGAAGTTGGTGACCGGTTGACACAGTGAGACTCCTTTGCTTTTATTTTTTTGGTACTGGGGATTGAACTCATAACCTCACTCTTGCCAGGAAGCACTTATTCTGTTGAGCTAAATCCTCAGCCTCAAAGCTTCATATCTTTAAAAAAAATTTTTTAAATGAAAAATGCACAAGAAAATTTTAGGTTCACTTAAACCTTCTGTAAAGTAATAAAACACAACCTAAGGAAATGTGCTATCAAGTCATTATTCCAGACCAGCAGCCTTCACTGAAATTCTCATCCTATCTATATCTTCCAAGGATAAGTCTCTAGAGGAATCCAAGGAAGCTGTGATAAAATACCATTCTTCAGGTTCCGGTTTTCAAAAGAAAAAATGGGGGAAAAAATCTAGCGTACCCACCCCAAAGATAATCTCCTCAGATGGCTGCTTGGTGGAACCAGATGGTTTCAGAAGGTCATCTCTCAACTAAATGTCCCCAGGACACCACTTGTAGGGCCCCCTTCAGTGATGGGGAAGGAACCCACTGAGCTATTTGCCCCTTGCCTGGCCTACAGTTGCTGAATCTTTGGCTTCACATTCTGGGTGCTTCTGGTAGGGTTATTTTGGAGGAGGTGAGCACTTAAACCAGTTGGATTCTGCACAGCACATCGCCTCTCACGATGCGGTCTGGCCTCATTGCTAAAGTTAAAAGCCCTAATAGAACAAAGACTGACTTCTAGCAAAAAGGAATTCTGCCAGCAGATGGTCTTCGGACTCTTAACTGCCTCAGCGGCTCTTCCCTGGGGACAACCAGAATGTCCATCAGTGGGTGGTGAATGGACAAACACAGGATGATGAATGACCGCCTTATTCCATTAAGTTTTGGGATTTGTTCCATAGCAATAGATAAAAGGAATGGGGTCTTCACACTCCTAGTTATTGTTCAATCTGAATGCCAGGGTGTCACCACAGTGGCACAAATATACTGAGGTCCTAGTAAGCTCTATCACCTGTTCCGGTGTCCATCCCACCTTCCTCTGCTGCTCTCAGAGAATTAGGTAGTGCATCTCAATCCCAGGTGTATTATACTAATCCCACCCAGCAAAATGGGCACATGATCAGATCAGGCCAATCAGACCATCCCATTACCTGACTCACAGGGATTGGTTCAAAGGTGGTAACGTGACCAAAGCTGAGCCAATCAGAGTCCCCTGGACACCCTTACCTGTAAGGGTAGAAATACTTCCCCTTCACTGAATGGCCGATAGCTTGTGGACATAAAGTAACATAATCATAGCTAACATTTTAGAACGTTTGTCATATGCCAGTGCATGTGTTTAAGTCAATTAATTTACTTTTAAGGCCTTTCCTTAAGGGGCAGTTCCGGTACCGGGGATCAAACTCACGACTGCCTGCTCGCAAGACAGGCGCTTATGCCGCTGAGCTAAATCCCTAGCCCTAAGGGGCAGTTACTCTTAACTCCATTTCATACAGAGTGGAAAATAAGTTTAATCATATATGTGTGTGTGTGTGTGTGTGTGTGTGTGTGTGTGTGTGTGTGTGTATGATTTAGCTCAGCGGTATAAGCGCCTGCCTGGCAAGCATTAGGTTGTGAGCTCAATCCCCGGTGTCACCCAAAAAAGAAAAAGAGAGACAGAGAGAGAATGGTCCGGTGTGAACACAATCCAAGCTCTCTGGGAGGCAGAAACAGGAGAATGGAAAGTTCCAGCCAGGTCTGGACAACTCAGCAAGACTTTGTCTCAAAGTAGAAAAATAAAAAAAAGAGTTGGGGATGTGGCTAACTGTGAAGACCCTGGATTCCAATCCAAATACTAGGGAGGAGAAAGGAAGGAGTTCCATCTGTGGTTCACATGCTAAGGATTTTTTAATATTTTAAAATCGTTCAAAAGAAATCCAAACATGAATGTTTCATGACATGAAAATTATGAGATTCAAATTTTTTTTTGAATTTTTTTTTTTTTTTTTTGTCTTTTTTCCTTTTTATCGGTACCAGGGATCGAACTCATAACTGCCTACTTGCAAGGCAGGCACTTATGCCGCTGAGCTAAATCCCCAGCCCCTGAGATTCAAATTTCAGCATATCCAATTGCATGTGGAGAGAGCCCAGGTGATTCACATATGCCGTGTGTGGGTTTAATTTTAAAGAGGGTAAAATTAAACATAACAAAACAGAACATAAGAAAACAATTTAAGAAACAGATTTCAAAGCAAGATCACCGGAGATCTTCACTTCTATCATATTGTCTCTTGTTTTCTTCCAAATAGTTGTCCATATCTTCACACACAGTGAATTCAACCAATCAAAATAGCACTAAACTGATCAGAATAGGATGAAGGCATTTTAGACCTCTTGAAAACAGCTGTCCATACCTTAATGTATGTTGAAATTAAACAGATTAAAATCACTCCGAACAAAGAATAGTATCGCTAGATTTTATATCATGACACTACGGAATTAGCAGTGGTTATCTTAGTGTCTCTTTTTCTTCCAAGTATCTATTCATTTCATCGTACATTATATAATCAATTCTTGTAAATTGTTTTGAAGTTCTACGCATGCATGAGTCTCTTCATGTATAGTGTATGGTGTTTTGCCACCACAATGGCTAGTGGTGACAGAGACAAGTGGCTCACAAGACAAAAATAAGTTACTGTCTGGCCCTGTGCAGAGTTTATTTCCCATCCTCTGATTGAAAATACAAAACTGGGCCGGGTGTGATGCCCCCAGGCCTATAGACTAGCTCTACAGCTAGACTGAGGCAGAAGAGTCGAGTTTGAAGCCAGCGTGGGCTGTATAATGAGATTCAGTCTCAATCAATACCTAAAATCTAAAACTGGAGCTGGGAAACTCCAAATGGTGGCCCACACCTGTAATCCCAGCACTCTGGGAGGCTGAAGCAGACAGATCACAAGTTTGGATCCCGCCCGGGCAGTTTAGTGATTTAGGGAGTGCCTGTCCCTGTGGGAAGCCACCTGAGATGGCGCCCATTTCCTGCTTCCGGGTTCTTCCCGGCCTGAACAAGCCCGCCAAATTGTCATATCTGCCCAGTTACCCGTGACGCTAGCCTATCAGCTTGTTAGGCGCGCTTCTCTGTGATTGGATACTGCTTCCCCTTATAAGAGGTTGTTCCTGCCCCCAACGGCGGAAGAGGAATCAACACCGAGGGTGGCGGACCTTGTCAGGTCCGGTTCGCTGTACGTAATAAAGTTTGAGAGCTGATCCTGCTCGAGTTTGGTCTCCTGTCTCCCGCGGCTCCGGTCATCTGGTGGCCGCCCGTACGGGGAAAAAGGTAAAAGACTCAGCGACGTGCCTCTTCGGCCGGGAGGTGCGATTGCTGTCGCCTGCGGTACGACGGAGGACCTGGCTCAATAACAACGGAAGGCCGCGAGCGCCTCTTCTCTTCACCCTGATCAGCTACGTGAGATACAGCGGTTCCCGTGACAGGTGAGTACTGGGTCACCTGGGTTGGGTGGACGCACCTAACAGATTTTGAGCGCCACACGAGTGGACGCTGGGTTTTTTTTTCTTTTCTTTTCCCTTTGCATCTGTTTTGCTTTCGCTTCGCTAATACAGCCCGACAGGCTTTTGATAGAGCTCGATCGGAATGCTCAGAGGAGCCCGGAGCCACTGCCGATTGTGGGTCTCCGGAGGACCCTCAGGGCTCTAATTCTGATTCTGATTCGGAAGGCTCAGAAGAGGAGGTCGTCTTTGCTAAGCATGACCCTCCTACACCGTTAAAAGAGGAACTTAGGGCTCGGGAAGATAAAAAGGGGAACCAAACACCACCCTGCCCGAGCTACTCCGCCTTACGGGAGGAGCTTAAGCCCTTCCGCCCTTTGGCAAGTTCACCACCGGAGGGTCCTTCCACCGGAGGGTATGGTCGCGGCTTCCTTTTGAGTGTTCCGGTCTCCATGCATTCCCGGTACAAGTAGGAGGCAGGGGAGGAGGAGGATATTATAAGCCCTTAGAAATTAAACAACTTAAAACTATCAAGGACGCAGTTTCAGCTTATGGGCCCAATGCGCCATTTACCATGGCGCTTTTAGAGGCATTGGCAGGTCTGCTTTTAACTCCTGGAGATTGGACCCAGCTGGCACGCGCCTGCCTCTCCCCCGGACAATAAGTCCTGGAATGAGGAATTCTGTGTAGAGCAGGCGGCAGCCAACAGGGAAAATAACCAGAGAGAGTGGAACAGGGATATGCTATTAGGGCGAGGAACCTTTGAGGAAGATCAAACTCAATACCCTCGCCAGGTTTATGAACAAATTAGCCGCTGTGGCCTCCAGGCCTGGAGACGGCTGGCTGGAAAGGGAGAAAGGGCCACCCATGCTATTAATCATTGTCTTGCAGCCTGGGCTGCTTGGGGAAAGCCCAATATATTAAAAACAGACAATGGTCCTGCTTACACCAGCAAAACTTTTGTAACATTCTGTCAACAAATGGATGTTGTCCTTAAGCATGGCATTCCATATAACCCTCAAGGACAAGGCATCATTGAACGGGCACATCGGACACTCAAGGGTGTCTTACAAAAGCAAAAAGAAGGGATAGGCCACGGCCTAACGCCCAAAGGAAGAATATCATTGGCACTCTTTACCATATCATTCCCCTGCCATGGAGCACAATAACCCGTCCCCGGCCGACAAAGGGCTGGTGAGATGGAAAGATGTCCTTACAGGACAATGGATGGGCCCGGATCCAGTGGTTAGTTGGACCCGAGGTGCGGTTTGTGTCTTCCCACAGGAACCAGGCTGCGAACCGCTGTGGGTCCCGGAAAGATTGACGCGAGCAGTAAACTCCCCACCAGTTCCTGATAAAGCACAGGAAGATAAGCCCGCGGACACAAGTCAACTCGACCCTTCTGGGACCGACGCTCAGCGCCCGAGACCATCTACAAACTAAAATGTCTGGTTTGGAGCTTTTTCTATTCTGTGGGTTCCTATTAATCACCCCTGTGATATGCTCAGATTCCACAGAACCACCACAATATCTTTGGGGTCCTTGGCACCACCCGCCCACATTGGCACCTTTTTCGGCGGCCTCGCCCGCCTCACCCAGGGTTTACACCATCAATCAAACAGTCCTTGATTATGCTAATTGCCATGGCTATCCTAGTAGAGCTTGTGGTTATTAAATGCTTGTTAGATCGCCTCATACAAACTCAGCAGCAGGTTAAGATCACAGCTATGGCAGCCATGCAAATGGCAGCAGGTGGCCCATCAGGCCAGCAGGCCGCCGCATATCTCCTTCACATTGCAGAACATCAGCTATAAGAGCTGAGTGGGCAAGCCAATGACGGGTAAGACGGGAAAAGCCCTCCCAGTCAACCTAAGACAGGCTCCACTCAGATATATATGGCCTATAAGGCCAGGGGTCCCTCCTGGAGCCAAATTATTGGCATTGAGATGCGAGACCAAGGGTACTGCAGTGCCATCCGCCCCAAAGGTTGGGGGGAAGGCAGGAATGAATGTCTATATGCATCCAGGTTCGGTTCACAAAAGCCTGGCCCTGCGAAAAAATGAACCACTCACCTTGAGCATGGTCCTGGCGCAAGGATATGCACAAAACAGGGTGATGCACAGCAGGGTATAGACCTCTACATTCTCTCATGCCTCGGCCTACAAGGTAGGCCCACTCCTAGGTGTCTAACAGCAACAAGGTCATAGACACCTTGGAGGGACCCACAGACCATCCTATTTTAATAAATAAAAAAGGGAGAGATGTGGGAAGCCACCTGAGATGGCGCCCATTTCCTGCTTCCGGGTTCTTCCCGGCCTGAACAAGCCCGCCAAATTGTCATATCTGCCCAGTTACCCGTGACGCTAGCCTATCAGCTTGTTAGGCGCGCTTCTCTGTGATTGGATACTGCTTCCCCTTATAAGAGGTTGTTCCTGCCCCCAACGGCGGAAGAGGAATCAACACCGAGGGTGGCGGACCTTGTCAGGTCCGGTTCGCTGTACGTAATAAAGTTTGAGAGCTGATCCTGCTCGAGTTTGGTCTCCTGTCTCCCGCGGCTCCGGTCATGTCCCCCCAAAATTAAAAAGGGCTGGGGCTACAGCCTTGGGTTTGATCCCCGGCACACCCACTCCCACACTTAATAAAATAGAGGGACGAGTTTTGCTCTGAGGCAGAGCATATGCTTGACATTCTCAAGGTCCTGGGTTCAATCTCCAGCACCGAAAACATAAAACAAAAAAATCTGCTCAAGATGACACAGGTACTACTTTGAGGAGCTCGCAGAAGGAGAATCCCAGTGACCATATTTGAGCCTCCTGAATCAAGCAGGGCCCTTCGTAAGACTTTCTGGTCCAATAACTTGGCAACTACTTTATTAGCACTGAACAGAGCTAGGTTTGTTTCTTACAACCCAGAATCCTAGATACCTATTGTGTTATCAACTCACTCGTCTGAAAAAAATTCCCTCTTTCTCCCCAACCCTGGGTGTCAGATGGAGGCTTCTGTTTTACACATAATCATTGGTCAGGCCCAAGGCTGGTTGCTAGGAGCTCTGAAGGTACCAGGTATCCTCTTTCTATTACATACAGAATGCTGGTCCAAGACAGAAACGCTGACTTGATGACTTTGAAATCAAGAAGCACACTTGTCCTTCCTTATTTAGTAACATGAGCCAATCATGTTCTCTTTTGACCCAAGTTAGAAAATGCTTTCTGTATGCACAGCAAAGGAAAGCTGTGCGGAGACAACCTACAGAATGGGAAAATTTTTTTGCCAGTTATTACTCATAGGACTAATACCAAGAATGTAAGAAATAAAAGGTCAAGGATTTAGCTCAGTGTATGTGCCTGCCTGGCAGGCACAAGGTTGTAAACTGACCCCTAGAACCAAAAAATAAAAAACAAAAATAAAACCATACGCCTAACCACCAAATTTAAAGATCCAGTTGAAAAAAGGATCTGAAATGAACACACATTTCTCAGATAAAAAATACAAATGGCCATTAAATGCATTAAAAAATGTTCATTATTGGCCATTTAAGGAATGTAAATTAAAACAATATTGAGATTCTATCTCACTCCAGAAAGAATCGGTACCATAAAAAAAATCAGCCAGTAACATCCTGGCAAGTCTGTGGGATGAAAGGAAACCTTCTCCACCAGCTTATGTGGGAGTGTAGACTGATAAAAACACTATAGAAATTTGTGTGGTGATTTCTCAAACCCAAAGTAGAAGTTTCATGTAACCCAGCTATTCTCCTGCTAGGTATCTTCCCGAGTTACAGATAGCGTATCTCAATGATGCATAAATTCTCATGTTTACAGCTGTACAACTCATAGTAGCTAAATCTCGGAAACAGCCTATACGCCCAGCAACAGATGAATGGATATAAAAATGTGGTATTCATACACAATAGAGTACTACTCTGCCATAAAGAAGAATAAACTTGAATCTTTTATAGGAAAGCAGAGGCACCTTGAGACCGTAATGTTAAATGAAATAATTCAAACACAAACTTAAATATATTATGGTTTCTCTTATATGAAAAACCCACTATTTTATTATAAAATAAAAGACAGATAATAGGAAAAACAAAAAAGGAACAAAAGTTACTGTAGCTGGGCATGGTGGCACACATCTGTAATTCCAGCACTTGGGAAGCTGAGGCAGGAGGATTGCTGAGTTCAAGGCCAGTCTGAGCTATGTAGGGAGTTCAAGGTTAGCTTGAACTAAATAGCAAGACCCTATCTCAAAAAAATATATATAAATAAATAAAAAAGGAAAAGAAAAGGTATTGTAATCCAGTGCAGACAATTTAGTGTAATTGTTTTCCATGTTTCATATGTTCTTCAGCCTGTTAGTCAGGTTTTCAATCTACACATGTGGTAAGTTCCTTATAAGGTTTATAAATAAATACACCTCTTGCTAGAAAAATGAGAGAGGTGAAGGGATGGGGGAGAAAAAAAGGGAACTGCACATGTACCAATGCCCTACAGTGAACGTAACCACTATGTACTGCAAAGATGTACTCATAAAAGTCAAAATAAAAAATAATGTAAAAGTCAGGCTGGGGATTTAGCTCAGCGGCATAAGCGCCTGCCTTGCAAGCAGGCAGCTGTGAGTTCGATCCCTGGTACCGATAAAAAGGAAAAAGGCAAAAAAAAAAAAAAAAAAAGTAAAAGTCACAGCTGAAAAATAGAAAAGTTTTTTCACCTGCATCCAATACAGACCTAAGTAACAACAGTTTCGTACCACACACTGTGTAACACATGCACACACGTGTGCACACGGAGTCACTCTGAACTATGCACACACTGAGTACACAGACCCTGACACGTAGCTCAGTGCACGTCTTTATTTCTAGATGCTACAAAAGAACAAATTAAAAAAAAAAGTTGGGCGTGGTGGTGCACACCTGTAATCCCAACACTCGGGGCCGAGGCAGGAGGATCACAGCGAGTTTGAGGCCCGCCCCGGCTACATAGTGAGTTCAAGGCCTGCCTGGACTACATAGTGAGACTTTGTCCCAAAAGAAAAAAAGAAAAAGAAAAAACCACCACCAAACCAAACACCAGTGACCCCAAAGCACTGTGCCCCTTTTCCCACCCTGATAAATAGAGACTTCTGTCACTTCACCCTCCCCCCCGCATAACCCTCTCTGCTATAGACATTCTCTGGGTATATATTACTCTACTCGGCAATAGACATCTCCCGAAAATAGATCTCCACCTGCTACCTCTGCCCCGGCCTGCATCCCTGGAAACCCTGCTCAGACCACCCGCCACTGCAGCACGCTGGTGTCCTTGCCCCCTGTGGTCAGCGCCACACTGTCATCCCACAAGAAGGCTACGTTCGTCACATGGCTGCTGTGTCCACTGTACTTGTGACTGAGGGCCTGTTAGGGAGGAAAAGTGAAAAAGAAGAGGTCAGAAGAGGCAACACCACCCCGAGGTCTTCTCGTTCTGTTCCTTTCTCTGCTTACTAAGCCCTGCCGTTAAGAATCAATGGGGCTAACCAGGCATGGTGGTGGGCACCTCTAAGCCCAGCATTCAGGAGGCTGAAGCAGGAGGATCCCTGCCAGTTGGAGGTCAGCCTGGGCTACAAAGTGAGTTCAAGGACAGCCTGAACTACAAAGTGATGTGCTGTCAAAATAAATAAAAAAAAAAAATTGAGGACATCTATAGGACAAACTGCTCACAGAGAGTTAAGATTCAAGGAAATGCCGCATTTGGAACCTGATTTAAACTAACTGCAGAAAGCCACTTTGGAGACAATGAAGGGCATCTGAATATGGGTGGGGTGTAGGATCAGATTAAGAAATCAATGCTGCTTCCATTCCAGTACCATCAAAAAAAAGAGAAGACTAATGGATAAATAATTTAATAGAGCCGTACCAATCAATAACTGAGAATTAACCACTGTTATCTGCAATAAGGATGAATCTTGCAGACATGTTGTTGAGTGAAGAGGCCAAGAGAAAAAGAGGTTATCCTGTGATGCTGGCGCCTGCCAACCCAGCTACTCAGTAGGCTGAGGCAGGAAGATCAAAAAGCCAAAGCCAGTGTGGCAACTTTGCCAGACTGGCAAGTGCTCCTGGGTTTTAACTTCAGGTATTGAAAAAAGAAGTGGGGAAGAAGGAAGGCGGAGGGGAGAAGACAATGGAATCAATTCCTTAAAACACTAAAACCATGAGCTGGGCATGGTGGCTCATGCCTGTAATCCCAGCACTCGGGAGGCTGACATAGGAAGATGGTTGCGAGTTCGAGACCAGCCTGGGCTACAAAGTGAGCTCAAGGCCAGCCTGATCTGCATAGCGAAACCCTGTCTCCAAAAAACAAAAAAACTAAAACCAGTGGTTCCATTTGACCCAACTATTCCCCTTCTGGGGATTTTCCCCAAAGAATTAAAAGCGACACCACAGCGACATATGTGTACCATGTTCATAGCAGCACAGTATGTAATAGCTAAATCATGAAAACAGCTCCAAACCCATCAAGTGTTGAATGGATAAAGAAAATGTGGGGGTTTTTAATGCAATGGATTACTACACTGCCATAAATAAGGATAAGCTCGAGACATTTCTAGCTAAATGGATGCACCTTGAGACTACACTCTTCAGTGAAATAAATCAGAAACGTGGTTAAACACTGCATTGTTTCTGTGGTGTGAGAATCTGAAAGTGTAAATGAGACCAAAATGTATAACAGATACTGGAAAATGGGAAGAAAATGGTCAAATGAGAAGAGGAATAAGGTTGGGGGAATGGGGAGAAGGAACAAGAGAAAAAAAGGGAATAAAAGGACAAAATGGAAACAAGGTTTTTGTAAATAAGGAGATAAAGAGGGGCCGTAGGAAAGAGATGGGAATGGGAAAAGCAGAAGTAAGACATATCATGTACAGGTGCAAACTCCCTATGAAGCGTGTTATCACTATGGCTATCTAAAAGGTGCCAATAAAAAAAAAAAAAAAGCGGGGGAAGGACAAAGCTAAGGACAAGAAGGGGTGAGAGGAGAAACAAATATGTACTTCTGGAGCTGGGCGTGGTGGCTCATGCCTGTAATCCCAGCACTCGGGAGGCTGAGGCAAAGGATCATTGCGAGTTCAAGACCAGCCTGGGCTACAAAGTGAGCTCAAGGCCAGCCTGAACTGCATGGTGAGACCCTGCCTCAAAAAGACAGGAAAAAAAAAAAAAAGTACTTCTGGTCACAGTGGAACACAAATAACAGGTATAGAAGAGATCACTACACTATTCTCTCTGCTGCTTTTTTTGTGTTTGCTTTTGAGACAGAGTCTCACTGCATAGTCCAGGCTATATTTGAACTCAAGAGTTCTTCCTGTCTCAGCCTCCCAAGTGCTGGGTTTATAGGTGTGCACCACCACACCTGGCTCTGCATTTATGCACAAAAATTTCCTATTAAAATGTTACAACACGGCTCACACCTATATTTCCAGTACTTGAGAGGCTGTGCCAGGAGGATCGTTGTGAGTTTGAGACCAGCCTGGGTTGCAAAGTGAGTTCAGGGCT